TACTGTATTTACTAGTGATGGAAAATTGGAAAAGAGATCGACCGGCTAATTGGAATAGCCAGTGACGTTCTGCATAAGCTAGCCCGATCCATTGTGACTAAGGCAGAGCTCAGGCTGAAAACTTAGCTCTCTGTAGTCAAGTCGGTCTTTATCCCCATGTTTACCTACCGCCATGAGCCATTGACCATCACTGTAAGGTCTGGAATGCTGATATCCGGAAGAGCCTTGGTGTACAGCCGTTGCTTCTCCAGATTGAAAAGTCACAGCTGCGATGGTTTGGCCATGTGTTGCGAATGCCTCCAGAAAGGATGGCTAAACAACTGTTTCTTGCGAATCTCACCGGCAGAAAGCCCGGGTGACGACCAAAACTAACCTGATGCAAATGTATGGAAGGAGTCTGTTCCAGACTCCAATTGTTTTCTGCCGAAGTTCAGAATCTGGCACAGGATCGGGAACGTTGGAAGCTCTGTCTGACACGTCTGTCTTCTGAAGATGAAGATTTTAATTTGCACGGCTGAATCCCATTTACCTCTTTTCTTTAGGTGATTTTTAAGCACGTGACAGCTCCATGATATAGCACATGCAGTGCACGGCTACAAGGCCGCATCGTATTGATCGAGCAATAGCTTGTTCAAACACGAACTTGAAACCTCATATAAATGTGCATATAGTCATAATATCTCAAAAATGATGTTCAGAGTTTACTTATAAAACATCAGCTTTCGATGCCAAAGTTGGAATAATAAATAATAATAATGCCATCTCCTGAATTTGTGGATAAATTCTCTTTTTGATCCAGAAAATAACACGTGTATCATATTCTAATGAACCATGTCCGCAGCTAACTGTTTGCTATTAAGCACAGAATATCCTGCGAATATTTGTTTATTCTGATGAAGTTTCGTCAGTGTTTCTGCAAAAATACGGCGAGTTTTATTAACTTTAATGATCTCTACGGCGGACGATTAAAAATGACTACCACTTCCTGATCCTGTGGCTATGAAGTAAACAGACCTTTTACTTAGCTGATCAACGTTTCGATCAACGACCATCGATTGTCATCAAGGTGCATTGATATTTCAGTGAGGGAAGCATTTAAAAGATAGAATCGTTCTTTTGAGGCAGCAAACAATGGAGATAGTCCAATGTCCTCGATGTATACCAACAGTCCAGGCAGTTTATTATGCGAGGGTAATGGTTAGGCTGCTTGTTATGCAAAATGTTTAATCTCTACCAGACCAAGTACGCTAAAAATGTAGTCTGCTAAGTAACTTGTGGTGACGTTGTTACTGAAATCGCTCTTAAATCAATCCAGTACATAGATGTCTGAAAGTTAGAACTGACAAGCGCAGGAAATGTGTCCGTTATAGCTATGTTGATCATTATTTTGTGAACACTTGATAAGTGTCATTACTTGATAACTGTCATAAAATGAGGCACCGCTTCGTGGTGTGGAGGAGAGACCGTCAGAGAAGAGATTGCGTTGCCCGAGCTCACTGAAGAAAACTTCGACTGGGCCAAGCCTCACAGTCATCACTTGGAACCCCATTTGAACCGGGCTGAAGAGCAGACGGACGTGGACACTAGCCAAACTCATTTGTTAGTATCGAATAAAATAGAATGCACAAACAAAAATGGTCACCACTCCTCTGCGTGCGGCCCTGAGTCTTGCTACGACGAACTGCGTCGCATGACCGGCTGATGAACTACAACAGTGACGGATTTGTGTCCAAAAGGGTGCAAACGTCCCGTTGTAAGAATTCCGCTCAAATGAAACGATGAACTGAACGAGAGATAGAAATTTGTGGCGACAAATCGTACGAGACAATCGAAAGCTCGCATCGAGACTGCACAGTATATGTATATATGCATTTTGATTTTTGGGTTTACGCCAGTGGTACCATAAATAATGACTTTCAGATCATTACATCGGGTTATATGTCTGATGAATTTGCGCCTTCATTTACTTCTAGAAATCCTAGAAGCGCCAGTCGAACAAGCCACTCTGTTATGTTTGAGAACCAGCAGTTTGTACATGCGCAGCGTACGTATTCTTGGCATCAGTGGGAGAGAGTTGTGACTGGAGAAGCAGCATACCTCTGACTTTAACGGAGATACTTTTTGACCCGTCAACGTAATAATGTTTTAAGTTTTATGCAAATAATACCCCTATGTTTCACCGAAGTTGCTGCCATATAGCACTGTCAAATTGTGCCCAAGATCATAGCGTTTCAGTTTTGATACCAGATTTATTCGTCATAAGCGCACTGCCTTATTGCCTTTAGTCGCATTGGGGGGATCATTTTATAATTTTTGGTTTAAATAAATTGAAGTTGGTTTACATACTGCCGCAATGAATTACTCATGCAAGTCATGTCAATTTAGGCAGCTAATTTTTACCGCCTCTGTTTCTTGAAAATCACGAGTAGCGTTTATAATGGCCAGGACTCCATGGTATTTGAATACATACGGATACATTGATTCACAACTGCATAAATGCAATCTGTAACACCATACGTGCTTGTGCAGCCATCGCGAATGCCTTGCAGCCCGTGAACATTATAACCTGATGATTTTAGGTTTTAAACTAGGACTAAATTTAAACTTGTGCTGTCCTTGTGCCCTTGGTTATTCTTTAGTTGTGATGTGCGTGTAGTTCAGTTAGGTATATTACACGTACTTTTAAACTAGGACTAAATTTAAGCTTGTGCTGTCCTTGTGCCCTTGGTTATTCTTTAGTTGTGATGTGCGTGTAGTTCAGTTAGGTATATTACACGTACTGTGTCTGTTTAGTGTTCCATTCGCAGATAAGATATATAATATGCAGTGAACTGTACCCTTAATACTGTTATTCAGATGTCTTGTGGTGGACGAAGCGGATCGCATGTTGAACATGGGCTTTGAACCGCAAGTACGTCAAATCGTGCAACGAGGCAATATGCCGGCTTCCTCCAGTCGTCAGACAATGATGTTTAGCGCTACGTTCCCACGCGACATGCAGGTGCTTGAATGATAAAATTGCCTTCTTTTATGTCATCGTCTTTTTCTGTCGCAATTTGACCACCTTTTCACACACGTCTGCTGTCCAGTCATCTACATTTTTTACGGAAAGTCTAGGACAGTTCGGGGTTGATTTTCTAGGTCATGATTGCGAAGTGTTTCGTTAAAATTGCAGCCAGCCTGAAAGAAAGCCAGTTACAGATTAACATATCTCTGATTTGATTAGGAAGGTCTCCACTGAGAGGGGAACAATTTTTCGCTTCCTACACACGAAAGATTACAAATTTTGTGGCAGAATTAGATGACAGAGTAGCCGTTGTATCCTTTGTCATGGTTAAGGTTGTCGCAGGGCTGGATGATTCATGCCTTCTTGAGTCACAGTGACCATAAAGTTCTGTTCGATCAGTTTCGTCATCGTCGGTGTTTTACAGTCCACTGCTGGATGAAAGCTTCTCCAAGGCTTTCCTATGAACTTCTGCTTTCTGCCATTTTTATCCATCTTGATTCATCAGACTTCTTCAGCTCATCCTATTGTTGCTCTAGAGGTGTTCTTACGAGCCGTTTACTTTCTCTTTGAAGCCAGTGTAATATCTCTCTGGTCGGTTCAGCTTGCAGCGTGCCGCCCCCTCCCCCGTTTCACTTTAACTTGTTCACTCAGACAGTAGCATCAGAGACTTGTGTTTGTTCTCTTACCCATTCATTCGCCTTCCCATTTTTTCAGACTATTTCCAGCATACACCTTTACATGCCGCGTTGTGTAGCCTGCAGTTTTTGAATCGCTTTTGTACCCATATATTAATTTTGGGAGCACGCATTGATTGAAAATTTTCCGCTTCAAGATAAATGGCAGTTTCCTGTATGAGAACTTTTTCTGTATTCCGCAAGTTCTCTGTGCCACTTCTATCCTTCATTTCACACAGTTTCTGTGTTTGAAGAGATAGGCTATGATCTAGATTTGTACTTCTTCAAGCCTAAATCTTTTGACTTAAGCAGGTCGCGCGGTCGAATATAACCTAGCTTTCTTAACGTTCATTTTCAGTCACACTTTTTTGTTGACGTTGTTAAGTTGTTGGATTTTTTAGGAGTTCTGATGACCTTAGGAGGGTCAGTATATCGTTTGGAAACCACAAATAGCTGAAGTAGTGCACATTTCGGTCCAGTCCTTAGTTTTCTCAACAAAGCGTCCTGAAAACTTCGTCTAGGGCTGCTGTGAATGACTTCGGTGATAATGAATCATCTCGTCTAACGCCCTTTTCGATTTTGAACTTGTTTTTGTTTACATGAAGCTTCACACTTGCATTTTTGTAAAACTGAGGTCTCTATATCTTTTCTCGATTCCTCTATTCCTCAAACAATCCAGTACAGACCGGTTGTAGACTGTATCGAAAGCCTTCTCGAAGTTGACGAACTCCAGGCAGAGAGGAAACGGATATTCTCCGCTTGGCTGAATTCTTTGTTGTGCGATCTGAAGATTATCCATCATACAAAATTCATTTCTAAGGCCTTATAGACCCTTTGGCTTTGCAGCGTCCAGTCTTTCTTGACGTCTGTCCGTCAGTACGTTCGCGAACAAACTGTTCGGCCTGTAGTACCTCCATTCCCATCTGCCTTCCTTTTGGTGTATTCGAATCACTGGTGCGATGGTCCAATCATCTAAAATCCAATAATCGGTTCAGCTGGGTTATTGTGTTTAATGTCCTTGCAGAAATAGTGGGAATTTTTTGTCGTACGATGGGTATCCTGCTAAGCATATGAATATTTTCGCAATTAATTTCGAGACCGCAACGAACAAAGCAGTTCATCATAGAGACAATATCATTAATACATGTATTTTAATGGCTGCAGTTGGATGTGAGAGACGTTTTTGTTACATTGAAGAGCTTTGAGTCTAGATGGTCATGTTGAACAATACCCTAAAGAAATGCGCAGTTTGCTGACAAGGGACAATGTAGAGTTGATGTCAAGAGGGGTGCATGAATGGAGTCCGGTTTATTGAAAAAGACATGAAGTCGGAAGGTCAGATTTACGACGAGCAATTATTTACAACGCCGATAACATAGTCAACTTCATTATTCAACCACACTTTCTTGCGTTTAACAGCAGCATCTTTATGGATAGATGAGCACATCCTCTACATGATCTGTGTGCCAGGCGTTCCCCCGAGCGCGAATCATAGTTATCAAATCAGTGAAGCAACAATGCGAAATCCAACAGTGTTCAGCCTCCTCTTGCCTTTATAACACGGACTACTGGTCATTTCATATCATTCTATTTCATTGGTGCATTTCAGTAGACAAGTTCATTTTGGCTAGCCTACCGTAATGCATTTCTGATCCTAGATGCCGCTGATAG